AATTACATGTAATTTTGATTTTCAGAAGATTACACAAAATTTCGTAAAATTACGTAAAATTACGGTAATTTTCCATCCCTAGCTTTACTTAATGAGTGGGCTATCGATATGACTTCATTGGTAAAACTTTAATGATCTTGGCAAAATTAGTTAATTCCGGCCCGCCGATCACGATTCCGAGGTATTCCGACCCGGAAATCTAGGATCCTCCCTGTATGAGTTGTAGAATGAAATTAGGGTTTGGTTTTTTTTTAATTTTAGAGGTTTTAAAAAAAATAATTTTATTACTATTGTATTTGTCTCTTTAAGAAGCCCAAAATCATCCAAATCCAATTACAGCATCACAAGATAATGCTCTATCAAGTAAGTGACGCACTTTATATATGTCATACAATTGGTTAGACCTATGTCTAACAACAGATTGACAGGGCTTAGGATCGATTTTCCGAACACGTGATAACTTCGGAAAACTTAGAATTTTGTTTATGTTAAGGTTTTGGTTTGATAGAAGTTCATTGTAGAGTTATAAAGGCTGTTTTAATAGTCACACAAGAAAATTTTTACTTAGGGCACAGAAGGTGGTTAATTAGAAAGAGCGTCACCCGATCGTGACTTCTCATTGGCTAATTTTGGCTCGAAACATCACGTGTTCGGAAAATCGATCCTATGCCCTGGCGTTGTTGTCTAACCAATTGTACAGGGCATTATCTCGTGATCCTGTAATTGGATTTGGATGATTTTGGGCTCGTTAGAATCGTCTTAAAGAGACGAATACAACAGTAATAAAATTATTTTTTTTAAAAAAACCTTATAGACTAAAAGTTATTTGACTTTAAAGTTTAAAAAAAAACCAAACTCTAATTTCATTCCAAAAATTAGAGCATATGAAAAACCCACTGATATACCTTGCTGATTATTACTGTGGAACATATTTGAAAATTTTTTTTCTTAGACTACAATATGAATATTTGAAAGGTTAGATTTTGATGGTCTTTACATCATACAAGATTATATAATATACAGTATATAAATTTCCTACACAATTTTTTTAACAAAGATAAATATTTATCATAGTGATTTATTCATAAATTTCCTCTTCTGAAAACACATCCACCATTTACTAGGTTTACCATCAACATATACCCTATCAACCAGTCTGGTGGCTAGCTCCTGTCGAAGTTGACCTAAATATTGACGCAAAAGATCTAAGAAAAATAATACCAGTTAAAAACACTAAATAATAATAATAATTATCGCTAAGAAATAACTACGAACCTGCATCATTTCTATTAGCTGGAGATGCATACAACGCATTCAATGGAAACGTTGGGTCTCCAGGTAGCGCAAAATTATCTGTTGCGCGAGTGTTTAAGATCTTTATCGCTTCTTTAGACGAAGGATTCTTAACGAGTTTGTTCAAACAATCAGAAATGAACAAAATAAGATAAATTAGAACTCGGTCTGCATCGCCTTTGATTTCGAAATTACGAAATAAACAATTTGCGCGAAAGAGATCTAAAGCTTCATCAATAATATCATCCTCGGATGGTGGTGCTGTAAAGATTAACAAAATCAGTGATTTGTAATTATTGTGATGTAAAAAAAGCTGCTTTATTATATTGTTGGTTCACGTAAGCTAACTTTAATCTCACCTGGTGTTGCAGGTCCTCTAATTTTTGTTTTTATAGGTAACAGGACCATGTTACCAATTACTCGATATTCAGTTCTTTCATTAAACTGAGAATGATATGCCTGTGCGTTTCATTCATAAATGTAAATTCTTTAATAATTGACATAATTAGTGAGAATAATGAACTTTGCTTACCGGCATGGTTTATAAACAAGATAAAAAATAAAAGTCTTTTCACTTTAATCGCAACATAAATCAGGTAAAAATTTTGATTGGCTAAAATTAAAGATCGACTTTTATAAATTGCGAGTACGATTAATCGGTTAGAGTTGGCTGAGTTGGCAGCTAATTTTAACCCAATTATTAATCGATTAACCAACTGATCGATTAATCGATTACAGTAAACTAATTTAGAGTAAACTAATTTAGAAGTTGGTCCAACTTATAGTTACACGTACAAAATCATGTGAAATTCAAAGTTAAGGTTAATGCAAACGCGCTTGTAGTTTTATTAATTACTCAAGACCGGCAGATCCGTTCAATAATTAGCAATGTCACGCCATCGAAACGTCAGAAAACTCAAAGTTGAAGGTACCTATTTGTGTGCAGAATTCAAGTTTTCGTTGCCTGATGCACATTATTCTTACTACATCATATATGTCCCCTAAGAAATTTTTGAGGAAGAATACGGATATGAAGATAATGAATATGGAGCCGGTAATTACACTTATTGTGAAAATCTCTGAAAATTTAATTAACATAAATATTTAATTTCCTAGAAAATTTTGAAATGACATTAAAGCAGAAAAGTATGTTATTTTAATGTCATTTAATTCCTTTGCCTTTCAATATTTATAAATTTTTTGGCTTTTACACGAATAAAGCACAAATGGAGGAAGGAAAAATAAAGGTCAAAAGCGTAATAGGACAGTTGGAAGGTGTCACCGATAAAGATATCGAAGATACATTATGGCACTACTTTTTTGATACTGAACAAACGATCAATTGGCTATTAGGTATTATAGCTTTTGATTTGACTAAGATAATGTATGTGGATTCATTATAAATTTAAATTAATATTAATTTTGACAGATAAAGTTCATAAATCTCAAGCGAAAAAACAAAAACGATCTCAAAAGCAGGCTGCTTCAAATAACTCACAAGAAAACAAAGGTGATTTATCGGTTCTGGTATTTTTGTTTTTGTTCCATTTAAATTGCATGAACAAATGGATAGTGGCTCGGTAGGTAAGGAGGGGAGTAAATATGCTGAAACCATTATGTACGATATCATACAGAAACAAACTTTATTTTCTTCATAAATCCTAGGCCATGCATTAACGAGAATTTTCTGCTCGATATTTCCTTCAAAATTTGATAGATTTAAGCATTAACACGAACAATTCATTGTTGGAAGATGAACATCTTTGTCCTACGACTTCCAGAACAAAGACACCAATTCTTGAGTGTTCACGATCTGTAACTGATTTGCCGTCAAAAAACAATAGAACAATAAGTTGTATTACGCTGTGGGATATTTGGTCAGGACATAATGTCAATTGGAGACGCCTTTTGAACAACACAAAGTCGCCTGTAGAGACGCCCATTTTCGCGTTAAAACAAAGCTGCTTTACTCGTGGCGGGTTATTGGGTGGCGCTGATTCAGAAACTCCGAATTCGCAACAGAGACTTTCTTCCATGAAACCTACATATGCATCTTTATCAGATTTATCTTCGGCTATACCTTCAAATTCTGGACTGCAGAGACAGGGATTATCTTTATCATCTTTGGCACAAGAATCTTTGTCCCATTCAACCGGCCGAATTTCATTGACAAAACTCGTACCAAATAAAAGCAAGACTACCGA